CAGTGTCTTCCTCCTTTCGTCTCTAGTGGGTGCCTGTCCATGCCCTATCTTCGCCTCAAGGTCTAGGGCCTTGCTAAACGAAGGAAAGTTGTGCATATTGATGTTGGCCTCACCTGCCAACTGGTTCCTGAGAGGCAAGGACAAGCATCTCAGGTAGGAGGTGAGTAGTACTTGGGGGTTATAGCGCACCCCTGGGATAGACATCAGATGCTCAACAACGTCGGTGGCTTCCCTTACTGACTTGAACTGCCGCGTGTGCAGTGTCAGGATCGCGTCAGTGACCCTTTGGATCTCCTGAGGATCATACCACCTTTCCTCCACCAGCTTAAGGAAGTCATCCAATTTCTGGGTGACCGCCCAAGCGCAGAAGTCATGACCATACCCCTGGAGCTGCACCAAACCACTCAACCATCTTGCTGCACTACCCTCTAGGTAGGAGGCAGCCACAAGCACTTCTTCGTGCGGCAAGGTGAGTTTACACCTCACATAGACTGGCACTGCCCTCAACCACGTGTCGAGGTCTTCACCTCTCTTATCCCTTGTGAAGGGTTTCGGAGCGGCGATGGCCGTGTTTGGTACCCACTAAGTTTGTCCCGGTCCCTGCATCCCACTGGGCTGTGGACCCTGTGATACAGGTGGCTGCACTGGATGCAGGGGCTGTGTACCCTGCGGCTGTACAAGCTGCGAGACAACTGGTTGCGTTGCAACAGCAATCTGCAACGGAGGTTGGGAGTACACTGGTTGTACAGGAACCTGCAAACTAGGACCTGCGGAGAGCCCTCCTGATAACGGCATGCCCAGGGAAACGATAGCAACCAATGATGGGCCTATATATGGGGATACCCCAGTCACCGGTGGGACAAAAGGAGGAGGATGTGCAACGGGCCAGGCACCTAGCCCGGACGGTGATGGTGTCGCCTGCATTCGCCCTACTAACACAGCCAAACTCTGTTGGATGTCCTGTAAGTTCTCCGTCTGGTGATCCTGCGTCTCCACGACACTTAACAGGACCGACCGTATGGTTCTCACACCATCATCCATCTCTACAGGGTCCATCTCCTCTAACTCACTAACATCCTCTTGCCTCCGCTGCATCCTGGCGCTTCTCCTAATCATTTTCTCCTTCTCTGCCTTAATCTCTCACAAAGCCTGCTGTAGTTGTGCCTCGCGAGCAGCAGCTCGCTGTATGGCGACCTCCTCGGGAGTCATCACTAATGGCTGGCTTGCCATTACGCCAGTGGACTGACACTGGGTCTGCGCGACCGTTGACCCGACAGATCCTGAACTACCGGCCTGAGTAGTCTGCTGTGCAGAAGTGGCCATGGCTTCCAAAGCTGCGGCTTCACTCACAAGTGCCCTGCTAGCCTATGCTGCTCTAGCCCTCCTCTGCTGCTGCAACCTCTCTCTGCGCTGGCGGAGCAAATATTTGTCACCCTCTGGACCTAATGCGAAATGGGCTACTGGGCGCCTTGCCGATTGCAAGATCCGGTCGTCCTCTCTAGTGTCCTCCTCGTCGCTCATAAGCTACAGCACTGTACACAATCTGCACTAATGCACACTGGATGCCTACCGCAGCGTAGTGCACAGACCAACTAATTAATTGGTGGCTATTTCGGAGTAGATATCACTTGGGGTCAACAGGTAAGTCAGATTCGTACAAATAAAACTATTTTTAGTTTGACTAGTCCGGAAACAGAAGCACCATGAACAAGAAGCAGTTCTAACTAATGCTGTCTGTCAGATGTCAAATGGCTGTACATCTAACTAATCAAAACATAAAAATACAATCATTTGTGTGGATAGGACAGTATGGAATTTTTCTTGAACTTATCACCTGAAATCTACCCCTCCCTTAGTTCCCCTAAATGTCACTTGACGTCAGCGTCCCTGAGCAATCCGGAGAGCGTTGCGTGTCTAAAAGGTGTGTGTTCGGCCCAACCCCTGTGCCCCGAGTATCTGCTGAGCTGGCCAGCCCTGCATTGGATTATCCTCGCGTGCAGCGAGCCTTACAACCATTGGCTAATCCAGAGGCAATTTAACGTCCGCCCCCAAGTGACTCCAGGAATTATTTTACGTTGCAGCCGGACGACGACCACAGCCAATGATTCCCCTTCCGGTGCTTATTTAAAGACGCCCGGTCTCGTCTCCCATAGGGCTGGCCTGCCCTTCAGCACCCATCAAGCCGAACAAATGACAAGCAGCAAAGCATGCGTGCTCTACTCCCGGTGGGTTGGCATGGTGACCGTGACCCAGTGCTTCATCCAGGGCCCTTTAGAAAGCTTCGCCCACCTTCTCCAGATGCTCCACATGAACATTGCCGACTCTCAAGGTTGGGCGCACTTGACACCTCACAATGAGAGGACACTCAAGAAGGAACACACAACCTCGCGGTAAGAAGTGTCGAAGAGGGTAGATAAGGTTAAGAGCAACGTACCTCAAATAGCTTCCCCGAACCACAGAGATAATCTCACCAGATGACCTGATGGCGATTGCGATGACCAGTCACTGCATCGGCACAACCAGCATTATCTCGCCGTTCCACCTCGGCATCAATCGCACATTAGATAGTTCTCATCACAATGTCCAGACCACATTACCCCACGCAGCCTTCCTGGCGATCCCCTCACCTCCTGGGTCGCCTATCACTAATCTCCGCCCTCCTCACTACACACCACTTACGGCCAAACTCGCCAAGCAGACCGCCTGTATGTACCGCATAAGGCAGAAGACAAGCGCCAGATGAGCGCAATCGTACCAGAGCTCCGATACCAAATTGCAAGGAAGATGAGCAATAGGGAACTTCAGCAATCAAACATCATACATACGAGTCCACATAGTCGTGACCTCGAACCAACAGCAAAATTGCATCACGAGTTTCACCAAATAAGAACACACCAAGAGTTCATAATTGACAATGCTGAAATAGTCCCATCATCATCAACGAAGAACCAGAGTTGATATCCTATCTGG